AACTAAATAAAACATGAATTCTTTTACTAATTAGCATCTAGCTAATTTAAGAAGGAGATACAAACTTTCCTCACATTTGAAATAAGACCATGCTGGATTTATTCATCAATCTTAAACACTCAAAATGAATAAACCTAAAGAAATAATTAGAAAGTAGGGCCAGCTTTGTGATCCATGCATGTGAGCGTTTCTAGTTTGGCCTTGACGTTGAATTTTCTTGTAACGTTTGGCCTTGATGTTTTTGAATAAAATCTCTCTTATATACTAGATTGTACCCCGGCCCGTTGGCCGGTTATAATTTGATAATAGTTTTCCAAGTTTAGAGTGTTTAAAAAGGTTGCAAGTTTAAATTTCAGTATATGTTCTTTCTCTTGGACAAAAATACAAATTAGCCTAAATATATATAAAAAATTCAGCATTTGTATTTTAATCAACCTTTAGATTCAAACCAATCTTTACCTTTTTCGAATACGTCCGCTTCAATTAATTTGCAATGTAGTAGTAGGGATATTGAATAGTATTTTTTTACACCACCATAGAAGCTTGATCTCATTTTTTATCATTAATTTTCATTTTAAATTTCTTCATAATGAGAATTTCTTTTAATGTCTTAAGAATGTACCTTGAATGAAATTCAATCACTTCAGAAAAATCATGATTAGATAGCACCAAGGTAGCTCGAATTTAAGTGGCCAATCACAAATAGATGATCATTAACAGCTTAAATATTAAACTAATAAAGTAAGAAATATTTACATACTTGGATTTTCACGGACAGAGAGGAACGAAATGGTCAAGATGAACATTGAATTAATAGGCTTAGTAAGAACTGTTTCTACTTCATATGTTACTTGGATTTTCACGGACAGAGAGAAATGAAATGGTCAAGATGTACATTGAATTAATAGCCTTAGTAAGAATTTTATCGAATTGAGTACGGTTTCTACTTCATAAGTTATCTTCAAACCACATCTTTTGTACCCGAATTGAAAGTTAGAACTTAACAAAATCATGCAATCTTGAAATTAAATTATACTTTAAAGCTGGTATTCTCAGTAACGTTTCTACTTCATAGAATTATTCAATCACTTCAAAAAAATCATGATTAGATAGCACCAAGGTAGCTCGAATTTAAGTGGCCAATCACAAATAGATGATCATTAACAGCTTAAATATTAAACTAATAAAGTAAGAAATATTTACATACTTGGATTTTCACGGACAGAGAGGAACGAAATGGTCAAGATGAACATTGAATTAATAGGCTTAGTAAGAACTGTTTCTACTTCATATGTTACTTGGATTTTCACGGACAGAGAGAAATGAAATGGTCAAGATGTACATTGAATTAATAGCCTTAGTAAGAATTTTATCGAATTGAGTACGGTTCCTACTTCATAAGTTATCTTCAAACCACATCTTTTGTACCCGAATTGAAAGTTAGAACTTAACAAAATCATGCAATCTTGAAATTAAATTATACTTTAAAGCTGGTATTCTCAGTAACGTTTCTACTTCATAGAATTATTCAATCACTTCAAAAAAATCATGATTAGATAGCACCAAGGTAGCTCGAATTTAAGTGGCCAATCACAAATAGATGATCATTAACAGCTTAAATATTAAACTAATAAAGTAAGAAATATTTACATACTTGGATTTTCACGGACAGAGAGGAACGAAATGGTCAAGATGAACATTGAATTTATAGGCTTAGTAAGAACTGTTTCTACTTCATATGTTACTTGGATTTTCACGTACAGAGAGAAATGAAATGGTCAAGATGTACATTGAATTAATAGCCTTAGTAAGAATTTTATCGAATTGAGTACGGTTTCTACTTCATAAGTTATCTTCAAACCACATCATTTGTACCCGAATTGAAACTTAGAACTTAACAAAATCATCCAATCTTGAAATTAAATTATACTTTAAAGCTGGTATTCTCAGTAACGTTTCTACTTCATAGAATTATCTTTCCAGACCATCTCTTGTACTCGAATTAGAACTTCGAACTTTCATATAACCATGCATTTTTAAAATAAAAATTAAATTTGTAAGCCGATATTCCCACATGGTTGGACATAGATAGATATTTGAACTTCATAAATTGTTTTTAAAAAAAATTATAACTCTCATTTACGTATTATTGTAGAATTGTCTTTTTTATTTTCTATTCGGTTGATCCTTCACGTATTAAACACATATAACACGTTTAATACACTTAAATTTTAAGTAATTAAACTGATAATTTATTAATTTTGTATTTAATTTTACTTATAAATTCCTAAATTTGAGTGGGCTAAAAATAAAATTAAAAGCCCAAGCTATGTCCGGCTCAAGATAGGGTGCATAACCATGGGTTATGCACCCATCAATAACCAAATCTGGACCCTTCATTTAGAAAATCCAGATCTAAGGATGGAGAATTAAAGGCTATTTTTATTTTCACTATCTTTCTTAATTGACTCATATCTTTTTCGTTTTAACTCGGATTTTAATTTTTTTTGCACAGATGGAACGAGTTCACCGTGCTCTACAAAATGAGATCAATTTTCAATATTTTTTGAGAAAAAAAAAATTCTGGCCTCTCGGTACCAACTGCATACCATATGGTATCTTCTTCGTTTTTAATTTGTTTTTGAAAACGTTTGCACAGCAGGGACGAGTTCATCATGATCTACTGGATCTACAAATTTCTGGGTGAACAAATTACAGGACCAAAAAATACCACACAATACCATACAATACCACCCTGGTACGGGGTGGTATTGTATGGTATCTTCTTCGTTTTTAATTCGTTTTTGAAAACGTTTGTACAGAAGGGACGAGTTCATCATGGTCTATTGGATCTACAAATTTCTGGGTGAACAAATTACAGGACCAAAAAATACCACACAATACCATACAATACTACCCTGGTACGGGGTGGTATTGTGTGGTATACAATGTTAAAAGTCGTAAATTACAATTAATATACTTCTACTATCATGTATTCAACCATCCTACAGTATTGGTTTGTTCATACCACCATGGTACGTTTTTCAAAACATAGGTATGCTTTTATTTCAATACCAGTCAATACCATATGGTATAGGCTGGTAAAAAATGGCTCAATTTTTTTTTTGTTCGAAAAATATATTAAAGTGGATATCATTTTGAAGAGCATAATTAATCTGATCTAACTGTGCAAAAAAAATTAAATTTCGACTTAAAATTAGCGAGAAATCGTCCGTCAAAGATTAAAGAGGGAAAAATTAAAGGCTTTCTATGAGAGAGAGGATGCTGATGTCATGCTGATGTGGACGGGTTACTCATGGTTACTCACCATAAGGTTACTGACTTGATCCATTCCCGCTATGTCCACCCAACAGCTCACGCACCAAAAAAAATGAGAAGCAAAAAGACTCTTCAGGCCTCCCTTGCTTTGCGGGGAGACCAGGAAAAATTAGATTTAGTATGTGCTGAGCGAGAATGTACATATATGTATGGGAGGATACAAGTTGTATAAATTCATCATATACTGAACTTAAACCATACTTCAACATTAATCAAGATTTAAGTACATTGCCTTTGCTCATAAAAACTATGATACGAAATCAAGAACCAGTTTTTTTGAATAACTTGAGTTGCCTATATAATTAGACACCTGAAATCAAATTTCTTATATAAGACAGATTGAAGTTAATATAAATATTTCAAACACTGAACCAAAAAGACACATAGTTAAGTAGTGTTCAAAATATATTGGATCGACTCATACGTTTATAACTGTTAAATCCTATATTAATCTTGTCTAACGAATTTCATACTAATCGAAAAAATTGTTCATACATTATTTAAACATTTATTTCTAGCTATTAATCTCATGAAGCCATATCTCACTTATCCTCCTCTTTAATAATCCCCATTATATGGCCTTATGATGTTGTTATGCATAAGTAGCCATTTGAGAATTTTCGAACCCTTTCTAATTTTGAATAAACTAGTGTCGGTTATAGCCTAGTACGTAACCCACGAGAAGTTGGGCTTCTTAAGGGTGGTAGATTAGGGGTAGGGGCCGAGTGGCCTAGTCGAGTATTAGGGTTTCTACCATATAAATATGTATGTTCGTTGTTAGTGTCGTTTATCGAATTAATAAGAAAAGATCTTTCAACGCCAAACTCGTTTTCTTGCTTGTGAGTTACAAGCAAAACCCTAACCCGATAGCAACGAGTTGCTATCACAAATTTCCATTAATGAAATAACAAATATGCATGAGAGCTAGCTAATCATTCGTTTAATAAAGAAAAGGTGAATGGGGAGAGTTGGCTTCCACCAACAACATTGTACTTTTGCTCAACACGTGTAGTCTTTAGTTCATGCAGCAAATTAATTGCCCTTGAGACGGTAAGAATTCCTCCCATAATATAATAGAGTCGCCTGGTTCTGCACCGTATTATGATTGACATGTGACGATGACCACATATCTGGGCTGCGCTCCTAAGCAAAACTGGTGTTTGGACAGATGCAAAACGTGATTCCAAGACCCACTATCGATCAGAAGTTGCAACGGGCCAAGTGCGGTTGAAGGAGGCTGTTGCAAAATTTCCCCTATTTGCCATGCATGCACGCATCATCTTACCCAATAAAATGCAAGGATCGACTGGCCTTTACGTGATGCCTAGACCCACCGGGTCGGAAGTTGCAATCGGCCAATTGCTGTTGAAGGTGGCTGTTACAAATATTTCTCTATTCGCCATGCATGGCATCATCTGTACTAGAATGGACGATAATGATGAGACATGCAGATCGTCTAATATGCCTAAGCTTCTTCTTTTTTCACTGCTCCTCCTCCGTCCCTATAAATAGGCTGCATGCTGCTCTCTCTAGTCTTTGCCCCTTCTTTTCTCCTTCTCCCCTCCTTGCTCAACTCTCTTGCTTACCAAAAACACAAAATGTCCACGCCCGACACCCACAGAGAAGGTTCCCACTCGAATGATCCCTCCGACGCAGTCGCCATGGGGGTCGTGTTGGGAATCTTGGTGGCGGTAGTAGGATCCGTGGCCTTCGGGCTCTGGCTGCGCACCTGGTGGAACAAGCCACGCGCCCTGCCCCGCCGCGTCCGCGACACGCTCCCTCTGGGACGGTTCTCGGGAGATCAGCAGGCGGGACTGTCGTCGTCCGACTGTCCCGTCTGCCTCGAGAACTTCACAGAGGGAGAGGAGTACCGACTCCTGCCCCAGTGCGGCCACGCCTTCCACCGGGCCTGCGTTGACCGCTGGTTCGACACCCACCCCACCTGCCCCGTCTGCCGCCACCACGTCGTCGCCCACGTCCCGCCCGCACCCGCACCCGCCCCCGCCCCTGCTCCTGTCGCCGCCGCACCCGCACCCGCCCCTGCCCCTGTCGCCGCCGCGCCCGCACCTGCTCCTGTCGCCGCCGCACCCGCCCCTGCCCCTGTCGCCGCCGCACCGGTGCCCGCCCCCTCCCCCGTCGCCGCCGCACCAGCACCCGCTCCTGCCCCCGTCGCCGAGGAAGTTGAGATGGCGGCGAGAGGGAACGACGGGGAGGAGGAGGAGTAGTTGCCCTAGGTTTTTTTTTTTTTTGTCGTATTGTAATAAACCATGTAATGTATATAGGTGTAGAAATTCATATTTCAAATGTACTCTGTACTGTACGTTGTATTTTTACTTCATTTAATTAATTAATCGAAGAAGAGAATAAATCAGAGAGCTTGGTGAAATTTAATTGGGCTTCCTGTTAGTAATATTTGTGTCTTGTATGGGCTGACAATGTTACATGAGAAAACATGGGCCAACGTCTCGCGTGTGACATAAGCCCAAACTTTGCACGAATCGTAAAAGATTGGACGAAAAATATATTTATTAATAAATTCTTTTGCTGCCACGTTTCAAAACAAGCAGACACAATAAACACCTATGGACCACTACGGGCATTTTATCGAACACCATCAGGGCATTGCGTCAGATCCATTCACGGGAATGGGATGACGAATTGACGATGCTCTTCTCCGTATCAGAGCTGCTTCGAAGATAGAACGCGCCCGGCTTCTCTTTCCCAGTTCTTACACTATCCGGCCGCCGATCTCTCTGTCGGCGAATTAAGAACGGAAAATTGGGAATGTAATATAACGATTTGGGGATTCTTAGAATTCAAAAAAATTGGTGCAAATTTGAACATGGAACAATAAGATAGATACATATCTTGCATTGGTTACAAAAAGATCACCCATATATGTAAAAACTTTCATTTATCCGATCACGGGAGCCTAAAATGCTACACAAAGATGCTAATATGGAAGCAGAGTAGCAGTACAAATATCACTGCCGGTGAGAAAACAGAGACATGACGATGAGAAGCGGCTTCGGAGGTGGCGTAGAAATAATAGTATGGGTAAGGGTAATTGTTATTATTAGGGTGCTGCCCTTGCCCTGACGACCCTTGATTAGAACTCGCCGGCGACGGCGGTGGAGGGTTGTTCCCCCATACCGGATACAATGTCGGCGGCGGCGGCGACGACTTTTTCGGCGACGGTGGCGGAGAGTGGTAGTAGGATGGTGGTGATGAAGACGACGACATTGGCGGTGTTGGAGGAGGAGGAGGAGGCGACTCATCCTCGTACACCGGAGGAGGAAGCGTCTTCGGCGGGGAGCGAGGTGACGGCGGAGACGGAGGTTGTGCGTGCTGGAAGGATGGCGGAGGAGAATTAGGAAGCGACTGAGAAGGCGGCGGCGAACAGATGACGGGACAAGTGGCACAGTCGCTGATGCAGAGCAACCCAGCTGGAACGAGCTCCGACGAGCTTGTAATTACTGCTACGCAAGCATTAGTCATCATCAGGAGTATAATGCTCGCTGCTAATCCCATCGTCTTCCTTAGGCGGGCAGAAATGGCTATCATCATCTCCATTGTAGCCGATGCTGCAGTTAGTTTGCTTGTCGGGTTAGTGGTGGATTTATAGAGAGCTAGCCTAAAAGGCCTTTTTTTCCAATGTGTTTTACAAGACAAAGGAAAGAAGATGTGCGTTTCTTGCCCCTATGGTATTGCTGTATAGTTAATTGTTGTGCTGCTTTCCATTGAAGAGGCCAGTGGAGCTTTCAAACCTCACTACTACGTGTCCTTTCCCCTCAGAATGGAGATGATCAATCCAGAAATTTGGGGCTCGAGGGCAAATAAACAAAGGTTGGAGACACTAGCTAGCTTAGCTTGGTCCTTAAAATTGGGACTGGTGTTTGGAAACATTCTTTCCTTCATCTGGTGGGTGATCATCTGTTTATTCCTTTCTTTTCTGACAAGTCCTCCTGAATCTTCTCATTGTCCTGGGTGCTTACTTGAGCAAAAAGATTTCTGACTTTATTTGCCACTCTTCAAAACAGGAACAACTCTGCAGAGGGATCACCCCTGTTCTTATTTTGGTGGTAATGATCACCCTATGTTACACAACTTGATACTTTGTAGAACTTACAGATATTACAACTAGCAGCAACTAACATACAGAATCATAAACACAGTATTATCAGTTTCTACACCCTTTTCTGGACGGTAACCAGGTCGAGTGCAGAGCCATAAGCCCTCAGTAACGCCTCGCCACACCAGCCATGGCCATCATCCACCGTCGGCATTCTGACTTCCATGAATGGAGTCACTGGATGCTCATTACCAGGCATCATCACCCAAGCAAATACTCGCAAGACATTTCCAGCATCGATGTCCATGCACACGATTATCTCCGGAACTCCTTTAGCTGCTGAGGGGATCCCGCCGATCTTGAAAAAGCCCAGAAGTTGATTCTCTTCCACGGTCTTCCCACCACCTTCATAGACAACAACCAGCGCTTCGGTTTGGTTATCGTGAGAAGTTGTGAACACTTGTTCCTTCCTCGCAGGCATGGTAGTATTTTTGGGTATGATTGGGGAGAAACGATTCCCATCAGCTCTTATTCCTAAGGCAAGTGGGGTGGCTTGGATAGTTAACAGATCCAGACTTCCAAATGGATCGCTGATTCCTGAAGCAACTGCACCTTCTAGTGCTGCTCCACTCACCGCAGCCTCCAACGGATTCATTTCACTGTAGAGTTCCTCCCTTTTGCAAATTGCCTTAACAAGGTTCTGTATCTTTGGGATGTATGAACAGCCACCAACAAGTATGACGTCGCTCAAATCCTCAACATTCACCTTTGAGTCGTGCAAGCATTCTGTTATGAGGCTCTCACACCTTTCAAACACTTGTTTGTTGACTTCCTCAAATTCCTTCCTATCAAGAACCTTACAGATATTGTTCTCATTTCCCAAGTCAACATCCACCTGAACGCTGGTCTGAGAGCAAAGCTTGCGAATTGCGTCCTCGGTTGCAATCCGCAGCACTGCCATCGACTTGATATCATTGGTGGAATGGTTTGAGAAAAGCCTGTCAAGATCAGGGAAGAGATACCTCATCAAGTTCTGCAGCATATCTTCTCCACCAATAGCAGCTCCGGTTATTGCTTTGATCTGAGAAACTCCACCGGCAGTAGCAGTGACAGCGACATCACAGTAACCAGCACCAAGATTGAAAATCAGAGCATTCTTCTCACTCCCACTGCCCATATTCTCATGAACAATCTGTTGCTGCTGCTGTGCATACAACAGCGCAACAGCTGTTGGCTCAGGCATCAGTCTCAGTACGTGAAGCCCTGCCATAGCACAAGCTCTCTCAATTCGTGTCAACTGGAACCGACTAAAGGAAGCTGGAACAGTGAGAACAACATTTCTGATAGGCCTCTTCAATTGTAACTCTGCCATGGCTCTTAGCTCCACCAGAAATATAGCCAGGACTTCTTCAGGAGTTGTCGACCTCCAAGCATTGTTCACCAAGGCTGCAATGAGAGGACGAACACCTATTCCCAAAGTCTGGACTAGAAAAGGAAGAGACTTGCTGGCTGAAACAACAGGGTCGGTGTCCACTCTGCCTATGAGGCGTTTCATATTGAAGATTGCAGCTCCAGACAATACTTCACGCTCATGGAACAGGTGATTGCTGGTGACTCCTCCAGCAGAAGGGGTTTCATCCTTGAAGGTCACATATGATCGCATCAACTTCTGGTTCCTGGTGTTCTTGAGCACCTCAATCTGGGAACCGTTCCAAACTGCTATGCTGCATTGTGAGGTGCCAATGTCGATACCAATCGCACTCTCTGGAAAGGCGGAAGATGATTTCTCCTCTCCAGTATTTTCGCTATCGGATGCCACAGTGTATTGGAGTTCAGCCATATCTGCGTTTTAGCAAGGGTTTATTGTAAATGAGATCAAAGCACCAGTACAAAGAATACTAAGTCCATACAACACAGGAAGTATTATTACGATGTTCATTCCAGCAAACCTCACTAGAAAGTAATTTCAACTCCATAAATTCCTTAACATAAATGCAAGACTCGTCGGGTCAAATATAATCAGTTAGGCCTTTCATCAAACACCTTACGAGCGTTAACCCGTCCCAACCCCCTTAACAGGCAACAAGCAGTAAAACCTTCAACCGCTTACCCAAACTAACATCAGAAACTACTAATCTTCACAGAAAACAATCTGGGTACTAAGAAAATTCACTCAACCACACTCACGGAATGCGTTTCGTCATGCAATAACCCATCAAACGGTATCCTAACATACCAAAAGTCACAGCTCACGAGGGCAGAAACTTCAGCAGGGAAAGAAACAAAGACAAAGACAAAGACACCCTCAACATCAGTAACATGATATCCATGACAATTCTTGAACTTGACCGTTACAAGTGGGCTAGATACTGAGTTCAGCAGGCGGGCAGAAACAGAGCACGGGGAACAAATTGAACAAAACAACGCAGAAAGACAAAGCGATCGAGCAAATGCTTACTCGGATAGGAAGAAGAAAAAGAACAAGAAGAAAGGTGAGGAGATTCAAACCTGGAAGGAGGGGGGAAATGCTGATTGCTGAGGGAGACGAGAACTGCAGTGAGGGAGAAAGAGATGTGGAGAAGTGGAGAAGGTGCGAGAAATGGGTTTGAGCAGAAGAGGGAGGAAGGGAGAAGAAATACGGAAAGGTGGCGCGGTTCCACCTTCGGTGAGTGAGTTCTAGAGCTCCCTAGACTTCCCTTTCCTGTAACAACTGGCACCTTTGACAGTTTGACCTTCCTTTTCCGCCTTTCTTTTCTTCAACTGGTAAATTTTTTTCTAGTTGAGGGAATAAAATGAATGTGAGGTTAAATAAATAAATTTCTGGAAATAGCTTGCGAGGCCTTGACTGGGCCGGGCGAACCGCTGTCCAGTGTCCACTGCTCTACTGGATATGGGCCTTTTGCCTTACTCGTGTTATGTGTAGCCCTAGATGAGAGATGGCCACATGAAAAGCGGACAATATCGTACTAATTGAGTTTCCCTGTTATGACAAAAGTCAACTTGCAAGAGAACATACATTTTTCAACTCTCGCCGTTGACCTCGATCCATCCATAGACGTAGCATTCAGTTAGCTGACCCTGACTCTCGATCCGACAACGCCCTTTTTTTGCTACAATAACGCATGCTGACCCTCCACCGCGGGGTGCGGTACGGAGAAGAAGGCCATCGGAGTTCACCGCAGAGCACTAGATCGAGCGACTAGGAACAAAAGTGTGTCGGAGAAGCGATGAAGAGTGGTGGTCGCAGTCCAGCCAGGATACCGGGACGCCGAGATCGAGTACGAGATTATGGGTTAGCGCATATTGATGCTTCAATTGTATTAGGAGGGCTACAGCTATGTACAGAGCAACCGGTGAAAGGTAAAGGGAATGCAAATGACCTATGTGAATTGAGTGGCACACTATATGACTCAGTAGTTATGTTGAGTTGAAATGCTAGATTGAAAAAATCAACTTGGTATCCACTGTTAATTTTAGTGACGGAAAATATAACGATACAACTAAAAATTTTAGTAGTCCGTATCCAACAAAAGTAATACTGCATTTAACCCTTAAGATTTGATTAACTAAGGATCAAATGATAAAATCTCTTGTAGAGCCCGCTAATTTCTATTTGAGTCGGATCCAAATGACAGCCAGCAAGCGTTTTTGTTTGCTTATATGAAGTCATTTTCACCGGACAAAGATTCTAGACAAGCAATCACGACTGAGGTTAGTAAACGGAAGAACCCTAAAACAATAATGACGGAAACAAATCAATTAAACAAACTAATTAACCAGTCAGGCCGGCAGAACAGATAGTTCAGCTGGTCGCCAAAATTAACTATTTTACCCATTTAACACTAACACTAGTAGCTACAGAGTGCTCTGTTTCCTGGAAAAGATTGCAAGCATCAATAATCATCATGTCGAAACTCCCTGCCTTCCTCTTCTACTTCCTCCTCACCATCTCCATTTCCCTCTCATCTCACCCACTCGACCCACTAACGCCGGCCGAATTCACCGCCGTCCAGACCGCCGTCCGTGCACACTACTCCTCCAGCCACACCTCCATCGCCTTCCACTACATCGGCCTCAAGGACCCACCAAAATCCGCCGTCCTCTCCCATCTCCACCACCCCTCCGCCGTTCCTCCGCCGCGGCGAGCCTTCATCATCGCCCGGGTCAACCACTCAACTACCCACGAGCTCACCGTCGACCTGACCGGGAACAACAAAATCTCCGACCAAGTCTACACGGGGCCCGGCTACCCGATTTTCACCACCAAGGAGCAACTCGCCGCCAGCGCGCTCGCCGTCGGCCACCCGCCGTTTCTCGAGTCCGTACGGAAGAGGGGGCTAAAATTGGGGGAAATTGTTTGCCAGTCGTATGGGATCGGGTGGTTCGGGGAGCAGGGTAAGGGGAGTAGGATCGTCAAAGTTATGTGCAATTATTTGGACGGGACGGTGAATCTGTACATGCGGCCGGTGGAGGGAATCACCGTCACCGTGGATCTTGACCGGATGGAGATTATCGGGTATCGGGATCGGGCGATTGTGCCGGTTCCCAAGGCGGATGGGACTGATTTCAGAGGGTCGAAGCAGAGGCCTCCTTTTGGGCCGAGCGTTAATGACATCGATGTCGTCCAGCCCAACGGCCCAAGCTTCCAAATCGACGGGCATAGGATCCGGTAAGGTTTATTTACTGCTGTTGTGGATGTTTTTTACTCGTGTAGTTGTTGGTAGTTGTTCTAGTTAATGCCGGCCACCTCGTTACTATTGCAAATTATGGTGCTGCAATGGATACTGGTCAGTCAGTCAACTGACAATGTCCCACATATCCAAATGGTATAGTTCCCATTTGGTTAAAATACTAATATCATTCTTATAAGAATAGAATGGGTATCCAAATGGTATAGCTCCCATTCGGTAAAAATACTAATATCATTTTTATAAGAATAGAACGGATGATTGGACCAGTAGAATTATTAAACAAGTTAAAATAGTTGTTCGGTTTATTTGATTGGACGTTTAGAGATGAACAAAACGGTTTTTAATTCTTGATATGAAATCGGATTAACCACTCTGGCTTGACTGGTTCAACAACAAAATTATTTTCGTAAAAAGTAATTTAAAGTAAACTAACATCGTTCAACGTCAATCGCTAATTTTATGTATACTTTCTTTTATTAATATCTAGCCTTATTGTAAGCTTTATGTGGTCCAATACGAATTGACACCCTGATTACTAAATTGAATTTAATAAAATATTAATGATTTCATTTGTGAGATAGTTTGAATACTTTGTTACAACATTTTGGAGATGAATGATATGACCTTAAAATTATTTATGGTTAGAGAGAATGTCATTCCTAAATCAGTGTGTTATATATGTATTTTATGTTATAGTGCGTAAATAATATCAACAATTAACCGTGGAATCATCAACCACTGAATTTTCTTCTTCAATACTCGGTCCGGTTCTAAAAACATAGACTAATGTTAGTCTTTAATGTTGGGTGTATATAATGATGCTTTTATAAATATTACAAACCTTTGCATTCAACCATCGAAATTACAAAATGCATTATGCAATAGTATAAACTCAGCACAAATATCTCTCCCTTACGAGGGCGCTAGAAAAAGTTTAGATTCCTCTAGTATTCAAAATCCCGTTGGAGATTAAATGCAATGATTGAAAAATTGTATCGGAAATTATTCGAAAAAGTTAATGATATAATATTTTATACTCAAATTGTGGTTGAATCATGGTTTAACCATATCATACCGCTAAAAAATCTTAAAATTTAAAAACTTGTTCCTGATATTTTCAGCTCGACCAATCTATACATTATAGTTTCTAAAACATTGATTAAATGTAAATGACACATGACACATGGTCACTGACTTCTAAAGTGGGGGAAAAAAAATAGGTGGGCCAACTGGGATTTCCATTTGGGCTTCGACATGCGGGCCGGGCCCATAATATCATTGGCATCGATCTTCGACGTCCAGAAGCAGAAGTTCCGCCGGGTTCTGTACAGAGGGTTTGTGTCGGAGCTCTTCGTTCCGTACATGGACTTGACGGAAGAATGGTACTACCGGACCTACTTCGACGCCGGCGAGTACGGCTACGGGTCGTACGCCTCGTCGCTGCTGCCCGGCGCCGACTGCCCTGCTAATGCGGTTTTCATGGAAGCCTACTTTCCCGACGAGGACGGGAATCCCCAGCAGCTCCCCAACGCCTTCTGCATCTTCGAGAGGTACGCCGGCGACATAATGTGGCGCCACACCGAGACCGCTACTCCGGAAGTGGTGAGTTTTTTCCTGATTGGTAATTTTTGGTGGGTTTATTAGGAAATCGAAACTCCTTTTTTCGTTATAAATTTTGTGGGGTTGTTTTCCCCTTTTGCTTGCTGCGGCAGGTGACAGAGGTGAGGCGAGATGTGAGCTTGGTAGTGAGGATGGTTTCGACTGTGGGCAACTATGACTACATCAACGATTGGGAATTCAAGCAGAGCGGCTCCATCAAAGTCACGGTACTAAAAATCAAATCAATTTCGTCTTTCTTTGCTTGATCACCATGAAAATCGATTTTTATTTTGCAGGTTGGGTTAACAGGCGTGCTAGAGGTAAGAGGATCCGAGTACACACACAAGGACCAAATCCACGGCGAATCCTACGGTCCAGTACTGGCCGAGAACACAATCGGGTCGAACCACGATCATTTCCTCACATACCATTTGGATCTCGATGTTGATGGAGAACAAAACTCGTTCTCAAAATCCAAATTGGAAACGGTCAGAGTCTTGAACAGCACAACCTCACCAAGGAAGAGTTACTGGAGAGCAGTCGTCGAGACGGCCAAAACAGAGTCCGATGCGAAGATTAACCTGGCCGGTTCCGAGCAAATCGACTTCACGTTTGTGAATCCCAACAAGAAGACCGATGTTGGGAACTCCGTTGGGTACCGTTTGGTTCCAGGGTCGGTAGTGAGTCCATTGTTATCCGACGACGATTATGTGCAGATCAGGGGAGCTTTCACCAAGTACAACGTTTGGGTCACGCCGTATAACGAGAGTGAGAAATGGGCTGGGGGTGTTTATGTTGATCAGAGTCGAGGGGATGATACTTTAGCAAAATGGAGTCTTGGCGACAGGGAGATTGAGAACAGAGACATTGTGTTGTGGTACACATTGGGTATTCATCATGTGCCTTGCCAGGAGGATTTTCCGGTCATGCCGACGTTGAGCAGTGGGTTTGAGCTCCGGCCGAATAATTTTTTCGAGAGGAATCCGGTTCTCAAGGCCTTCGTGAGTTTGTAGAAGTGAATCAATGCTAGAATGGAAGGTGTATTTGATTGTTGTCACGATTGGCAGGTATGAATATGATTCTTTTGGGAATACTAATTTCAAGGAAGTGTGTGTTGGAGTGTAATGAATTCTACCAGCAGACAGCTACTGCAGCAACCAACACCCACAGACAACATTCATATCCATCCCATACAACACAATCAGAACTTCAGATGATCCATTCCTAGTAATAGCTAGATAAGAAGGATTAATATTTCTTTTTCTTCCATTCATCTCTCCTCCTTGTATAAATTCTATTACATCCATGTACATCAAAGCAGGGTGGCTGGTTCTTATTCGGTGGATGGAAGGCTGGTTAGAAGGACTCTGTTGATATGCCACGCAACGAGTAACGATTCGAGAGCCTGCAAGTAAAACTAAGTTTGTTGTAATTCTTGCTTGTTGTAAGATGACATTGGAGGTGAGATCTGAGAGGGTAGGTCCAGAGAGTACAATGAAGAAACCAAAAATATGAAAACAGTTGAGCATGCTCTATACGGAAGCAGATCAGAGAAAGTGAAATTGAACTGAAACTTGTGTAACAAGTCAGTCTCATGGGAGGCTGGCTTGAGATGTGTGAATTAATCAATGGCGGTGCTGCAAATTCTGTTTGGTATTGTGTTCTTTGAAGAACAAGGTTGTTGGCGACAACAATAGTTTAGTCTACTATTTTTTTTATTCAATGGACTCGCACGATAAAATCCTTAAGGGTGCGTTTGGATAAGTGTATTTTAAATGTAAGGTATTTGAAATACTAGCATTTGAAATGAATGTATTTGAAATATTAGTATTTGAAATACATGTAATTCAAATTCATTGTTTGGATACTCATTTGTATTTTGTATTTTTACGATTTGCAATTTGAATTTTTTAATTTCTGGTCACTTACTACAAATTTTGGTAAATTACAGTTTGGTACCCAAATTTATTTTTTCTTACAATTTAGTACCTAAAATTTTACAAAAAGGTCCTGAAATTTTAATGGTAAAATTACATTTTGGTACCTTTATATGTTTTTCCTCACACTATAGTACCTAAACTTTTCATATTTTACAAATAGGTCCAATTTTTTGTTATGAGGTATTTCAAATCACTAGTTGTTGAAATGTATTTGAAGTTGACAAAAAATACACTAGACGTGTATTTGGAAATCACCCCATGAATTTGACACAAATCCAAATACCAAATGTAATTAATATCCAAACACATGATTTGGTATTTGGAAATCCAAATCACAAATACCAAATCCAAATCATTGTATCCAAACGCACCCTAAGATAATTTGTCGGCTTCTTCCACGATTTTATTGGAAGAAGAAAAAACCATTCCGTGTTGACGACAACAACAAGCAAACTAGGCTCTACTTGCTTACTGCCAATTAAGGCTGATGTTCATAAAATAGTTGATTTGGCAGCAAACAAAACTGATGTTCAAATACCAAACTTGAAGCATCCATCTCAGGTGTTGTAAGAGCAACATGTGCCCAAACCCTGGGAACAAAGAGATTCTCCCCTCCGGTGATCATGATGGTGCGCTGATGTTGTAAGAACATGGTAGTCTCAAGTCTGAGTCCCATCTCCTTTAGACAGACGAAAAAGGGATAAAATCAAACACTTAAAAACAGGATGCTGCAATGCCAAGGAACATTATTGTTGCTCTCACTACAAGAAATGAGAACTTAATTTGTTGATCATGTCAGGCAACGTGACAACCACTCTTGCCCTAGAAACACTGCCACAATTATGATTGTCAACTCTCTTTGTTTATTTCATACAAGAAAAAATCCAAATGCAATTGCGTAAAAGACCTTGTATATAAATCGATCGTTAATACTTAGAATCATATAACGATTAGAACAACAAACCTTTTCGAGAAAAATAATTGTTAACTCATTCAAAATTGCCTGTTCTCATTTATGCTTCTCTAGTTTAAGGATTGTTAATCAAATGTGCAGTATACCCACTGAGCCACGGCAAACGGTGCAAGTTTCTTTACTACTCCTCAAAGGGAATAAAGAAAGTAAGATCAGTAAGGAGATACTTCATAGTTCATACTTGTCTCCTTTAAATTCTTCATTAACAGTATGACTAGTTGACAAAAAGAGGAAAAAGAACAAGAAGAACCTCCATCCATGAATAATCCTCTGCTCCTAGCTCTAGCTCTAGCTTTTGCCCTGCCCTTCTTCTCGTCTCTTCTTAGCCTTTCTCACCCGCTAGATCCTCTCACCCCAAACGAAATAAACCAAATACAACATATCATCCAAAATTCCAATCTTGGCAGCCTCCCAAATCTCACTTTCCATTTCGTTGACATTGCAGAACCCGACAAATCCGATGTCATCAGGTGGCTCGACTCGAAATCCCAACCCAAACCCACCAAGATCAAACCTCCGGCTCGACAGGCCAAGGCCGTGGTTCGAGCCGGAGGCAAGACCTACGAGCTCGTACTCGACCTGGCCACGAGCTCCATTGTCTCTAACCACGTCTACACCGGCCATGGCTACCCTCCTCTGTCTTTCATGGAGTTGTTCCAGGTATGGTACATTGTCACGAATTTTTGAAACTTAAAAGTATTACAACTCGGAGTAATTTCTGCTTTTAAAATCTTACGATATTACGATTAATGGTTTGCAAGGCGAGCAAGCTTCCGCTGAAGTACTCGAAATTCATCGATTCGATGGCATCGAGGGGCCTGAACATATCAGAAGTCTCCTGCATCCCGATGACCGCGGGATGGTACGGAGAAACCGTTACCACCCGGATACTAAGAGTCAACTGCTTCTACCGAGGAGGATCGGTCAACGTCTTCGCCAGGCCGATCGAAGGGATCAACCTCCTCGTCGACGTCGACACGATGAGGATCACAAGCTACTCCGACAGGTTCAGAGCTCCCCTGCCCAAATCCGAAGGGACCGACTTCCGATCGAAGAAATCCGCCGAAAACTCCATCATCACGTACAACATCTCCGGTCCCGGGTTCAAAATCGACGGCCACAACGTTCGATGGGCGAATTGGGAGTTTCACCTGTCGTTCGATGCGCGAGCCGGCGTCACGATATCGACGGCTTCGGTGCTCGATCCGGCGACCAAGAATTTTCGGATGGTTTTATACAGAGGCCACGTATCCGAGACATTTGTGCCGTACATGGACCCGACTACAGAGTGGTACTACAGGACATTCATGGACATCGGGGAGTTCGGGTTCGGCCGAAGCGCCGACACGCTTCAGCCGGCGATCGATTGCCCTGCCAGTGCTGTGTTTCTTGATGGGTATGTCGCCGGAGGAGACGGGAAGGCGCAGAAAATGGCCAATGTGATCTGCGTTTTCGAGCGGTATGGTGGTGATGTGGGGATGAGACATACCGAGATCAATGTCCCTGGCAGAGTGGTAAATAAGCTCATTTTGGCCTCTGTAAATTCAAATTCTTAATTTTAAACCATTTTGGGTAGATTTTGAAGCCGATTGTGAAGCAGATTAGAAGCGGGGAGCCGGAGATTAGCCTGGTTGTCAGAATGGTGGCCACAGTTGGAAACTATGATTATATTCTTGACTGGGAGTTCAAGCAAAGCGGCTCCATCAAAGTTGGGGTTAGTTTTTAATTAATCCAAATGAAAGATTGGAATTTTTTCCCCCTTAAAGTGTGATTAGGGTCTAATTTTGCTTTCCGATTTGTTAAAATTTGTTACAGGTGGACCTGACAGGAATCCTGGAGATGAAGGCAACAGAGCAGATCTATAGCGACGGGAAAACGGGAAACACGTACGGAACTCTAGTGACGGAAAATGCCGTCGCTGTTAATCACGACCATTTCCTGACTTACTATCTGGACCTGGACGTGGACGGTAACAGAAACTCGTTCGTGAAAGCCAAGCTACAAACGGCAAGAGTCCCTCCGTCAGCTAACCCGCCGTCTCCGAGAAGAAGTTACTGGACGGTCGTTAAGGAAACGGCGAAAACCGAATCCCAAGGGAGAGTTCGGGTTGGAGCGGAGCCGGCTGAGTTGTTGGTTGTGAACCCGAATAAGCGAACCAGGCTGGGAAACCAAATTGGGTATCGGTTGATTACCGGTCAGCCGGTTAGCTCTCTGTTGAGCGATTATGATTACCCGCAGATTCGCGCTGGGTACACGAAGTATCAGGTTTGGGTAACCGCTTATAACCAATCCGAGAGATGGGCGGGTGGGTTTTACGCGGATCGGAGCCGAGGGGAAGACGGGTTATCGATTTGGGCCCAGAAGAATCGGGCGATTGAGAACAGGGATATAGTGGTTTGGTACACGGTTGGGTTACATCACAACCCGTGCCAGGAAGATTTCCCGATCATGTCGACGATTCATGACGGGTTTGAACTCCGACCCGCTAATTTCTTTGAACGAAACCCGATGGTCAACAAAGATTAAGGACTGGTTTAAGTGACTCTGTAGAATTGATTGCTTGCACAAATTTGTTACTATCTTTGACTGCAACGAACAGATCCATTGACACAATGTATTATTTTGTTAATAATTAAATGAATCCTGACCATCACATCAACCGATTAAGATGGCCGGAGAAAGTCTAATGCTGCAATTTGACCCATTTCATACGCACCACTACTTTCCAAGTCGTCCATGGCATTGGCGGGACCCCTGTTTCATTCTGCCATATCTGCCTTCCAGCTCATTTCCAATTCACATTATTTCTTACCCTGATTTCTCCATAAAAAATTCTCCCCGGTCTAATTTTCTTGAAACCCAAAAAAAAAATGGCTTCCGCGGCGAGTTTCGCTGGCCAGCTTCTCCTCCTGTTTCTTTCTCTTTCGGGAGTCCTCTGTTTCGCTCAGCCGGCTACTACGAGGGTGATTAACTTAGGTTCCAGCATAACTGCAGGCCAAGGATCCAAATCCACGTGGAATTCGCCTTCCGGCGATTTCGCGTTCGGGTTCCACCGTCTTTCCTCCGGCAAATTTCTCGCCGGAATTTGGTTCGACAAAATCTCTGTCACAACTCTGGTCTGGTCCGCAAACCGTGATGACCCAGCCGAAATCGGAGCCACTGTCGCGTTAACACTCCAAGGACAGCTCCTTCTCACGCATTCCAACGGGACCGAGCTCTTCATTTACAACGGAACCTCGGCCGGCTCGGCGGCCATGCAAGACGACGGCAATTTCGTCCTCAGAAGCTCCTCTGCTTCCGGCGACGTCGTGTGGCAGAGCTTCGATTTCCCGACCGATACGATTCTGTTGGGCCAAACCCTGGTCATGGGTCAGAAGCTCTTCTCCAACGCTAACGGAACGGCGGATTACTCCACGGGGAACTACATGCTGGAGCTTCAATCCGATGGTAACGTCGTGATTTCCGCTTACAGGTTCGCCGATCCAGGGTACTGGTTCACCTTAACGGCGGGGAAACAGAACGTGACCTGGGTTTTCAATCAAACGACGGCGTTTATGTACGTCAGGGACGACAATTCAACTCTCTACCCAATGACGACCCGAATCCCAGGTCCGATTCAAGATTACTATCATCGGGCGACGATCAACGCCAGGGGAAACATCCAGCAGTTCGTCTACAACAAGCGAAACGGCACCGGATGGACCGTCGTTTGGGAGCCGGACTCAATCGGATCGGAGCCTTGCCTCCCGTTCAACATCTGTGGAGTGTACGGATTCTGCACTTCGCTGGACAACAGAACCATTGACTGCAAATGCTTGCCGGGCTACTCTCCCTGGGATCCGAATGTGCCTTCCAAAGGCTGCTACCCGAATGTGGCGATGGATTTCTGCGATTCCACGAATCCGAATTCTCGACAATTCGATCTCGTCACCATCGACAATGCCGATTTCCCCAATGGACAGTTCGCCGACATGGCGAGGCTCACTCCGTTGAATGTGGAGCAGTGCAGGCAAGCTGTGATGGACGACTGTTATGCCGCGGCAGGGGTGTTGGTCGAATCGATTTGTTACAAGAAGAGAATGCCCCTTTTGAACGGCAGGAGGAGCAATCCGTCCACCAACAACATTGTGGCATTTCTCAAAGTGCCTAGGATCAACGGTACAACTAGTGGAATTGAACCTCGGAAGGGGAATGATGATCCCCCTTCCAAGCTCTCGTTGCTGCTCGGGATTCTTTCCTGCACTGCAATGACTCTAGCTTTCGCGACGATTGCGGTTTACCATCACCCGTTCATGCGGAGGAGGGATGATAAATCCGCGATTCAGAGGCCGAGGGCGGTAGAGATAAATCTGAAGTCGTTTTCGTTTCAGGAGATGCACGAAGCAACGAACGGGTTTCGAAACAGGCTTGGGAAGGGCGCGTTTGGGACGGTCTACAGCGGAATCCTGACATTGGAAGACGAGGAAGCTGAAGTGGCGGTGAAGGTGTTGGAGAATGTGATGGAACGAGGGGAGAAGGAATTTCTAACCGAGGTTCAGGTAATCGCTCTGACCCATCACAAGAATCTCGTCAGGCTTTTGGGCTTCTGCAATGAGAACAAGAAGCACCGCGTGCTGGTGTACGAGCTCATGAAGAGAGGAACGCTATCGGATCACCTGTTTGGGAACGCGGAAGAAGAGAGCGCGAGGAGGAGGAAGCCAGGGTGGGAACAGAGAGCAGAGATCGCAATGGGAATCGCCAGGGGATTGGTCTACTTGCACGAGGAGTGCGAGACGCAGATCATCCACTGCGACATCAAGCCGCAGAACGTGCTCTTGGACGACAATTACACTGCCAAAATCGCGGATTTCGGGCTGGCCAAGCTGCTGATGAAGGACCAGACGCGGACCAGCACCATGGCCAGAGGGACCATGGGTTACATGGCTCCCGAGTGGCTTAAAAACGCTCCGGTGACCGTGAAGGTGGATGTCTACAGCTTCGGGGTCGTGCTGTTAGAAATTGCGTTCTGTAGAAGGCACATGGAGCTGAATCGAGTTTTGAGTGATTGTGATGGTGACGAGATGGGAGGAGAAGGCGTGATTCTGACGGATTGGGTGGTGGAGTGTGTGAGGGCTGGGAGATTGCACGAGATAATCGCCGAGGATGATTCGGAAGCTTGGAATGATTACAGGAGGTTTGAGAGAACTGTGATGGTTGGGTTGTGGTGCCTGTGTCCTAATCCGAAGGACCGGCCGTCGATGAAGAAGGTTGTGGCGATGTTGGAAGGGTGCGGTGAAGTTGGTCTTCCGGTAGCGTTTGAAGCACACATGGCTTGATTATTTTAGAATAATGTAATTGTAACCGAATTCAAATTAAATTTTGTCTCGAACTTGAAATAGAATAAAAGATCAAATTAGTGAGATTGATCTCGTGTGTGGTAATAGGAAGAGATTTGTGTTATCATGTGTATATTATCTTTAATACGGTCAGAAGAGGTTCCCCTTTTGTTCAAATTGCTTTAGGCTGAGTCCAATGGAGCCTGCATTTATGGGGTTGTCGCCATTAATGCCGATTTTGGAGTTCCAACGCAGAGAAATAAATGCCGAAAATCGGCAATTATGGAGGCGATCGGCAATTGGATCGCTATATATGGAGGAGGGTTTGCCGATTTCGGCATTTATGGAGGAGGAGAGTCTGCTGCGCGGCACAACCGCCGGGGCTGGGCGGTGCGGCGCACCGCCCAGCCTCAGCGGCTGTGCCGCCAGCTCCTTTTTTTTTTAATTGTTGTTTAGTTAATTAGGGAAGGGGAATTAATTAGGGGAAGAGGAATTAATTAAGGAATTTGATTAAGAGAATTGAATGTAATTAATTAGGGGAAGGGGAATTAAATTGAATTAATTAGGGAAAGGGGAATTAAATTTATGTTTGTATTTAGGCTTTTTAGATTGTATTTAATTTGTGTTTAATATTTGTGTATTTAGGCTTTTTTTCTAAGATGACTTAAATTGGATTCATTTTATTTAAAATTTATGATTAGCAAGTGTTGTGTGTAAACCCAAATTAGATCCATAATTTTTTGCTAAAAAAAATTCGGTCTCGAAATTTAACAAAATTCTATCGAAAAATTTGTATTTAAAAATGATGACGAACTATACAAAAATTAACATGAACAAATTATGTTAAAGTTTCGATAAGTACATTTTTCAATAAATGGAAAAACTGGAAATATGAAGAACCCCAAATATGGAGTTTGTTGCATTGGAGCAAAAGAAGGGAAAATGGGGTCCAATCCCCAAATTTGGGGTTCAAGGCCCCTATATTTGGGGTTTTGCATTGGACTTAGCCTTAATGGTTCGTTTTGTTCATCCATGAATAATATTAAAGTTACAAAGCATCTACTGTTGCATAAGGGTTATTCCAATGTGACAGGTTGGTTAGTTTTGCTTTGCTCACAGCCATTTTTTTATTGGCCTGTTGCTAATTAATCTTCTTCTTTTAGGTTTTGGCTAATCTATAATGAGAGCGGGCTTCATCAACGCTTGGCCAGGTTTTAGAGTTTTATATAACTAGTCACGTGCCCGGCCAGTTGGTCGGATTCAGTTGTCAATCATGTAAATAACAGTAGGAATTTGTATTCGGACTTCACATTAGTATAAGAAAATCAAAATTCTTCAAATACTTTAAACATTCAAATCGATATGGAGAATGAGAGAATCCAAATTATTAAAATACTTCAATAATTCTAGAGGATTTAAATTGTATGGTTTTCCGAAATAGTAATGACTAATCGATTAAAATTGTTTTACGAAAATGAAAGAAAACCCCATGCAAGGGAATTGACTCATAAATACCAATTAAAATGACCCTTCTAGTTACTCATCATCGTCAGAGATTACAACATGCTTTCGTTTTGACTTGTTTGCATTTCCTCCGACATGATCAACAACCTCATTGTCACCATTGATAATGTCTTCATATCTATTAGCGACATATTTATCTCCAATGTCAATGAATCTTCCTTCTTCTCCTGTATTTCATTAATATATTCCTTGTTTTCCTACATTTCATTGAGCACGAAAATTTAATGTTAAAATATATTTGCAAATACAAAACATCTTTTTCATTGGAGTAGAATTTACCTCGTCCAAGTTACGAACATTATCCTAGATTTGTTCTTTCTCCCCATCGATCACCAGTCTTTATACCTTCCTCATTAACAATGTATTTCTTCTTCTTAACATAATCATCATCTCTAGTATCGGATCCATTACCTCCACCATTAACAATGCCATTCTTGTTCTCCTTCATCAGCATTATGGATTTAGATTATACATTCAACAGTACAACATATGGAGTAGTTTTATCAAATCATGATTGGTCAATACATATTGTAGATAAATTGTAGCAGGATGTAATTGATTGCAAGTTAGTGAGAAAGGAAGCAAAGTTCCACACTCAATACAAAAATTTAAAAGATTAGATCCTCTATATTTCCAAGCAAGCAGTGAAAGAAAGAAATGAGTGTTCACCACCTTTGCAGTGATTCAATATGACTTTTCAATATCTAAATGCCTATTTTATTAATTAAACCCTAAGCTCCGTTCATCGAAGCCAATTCTATTCATTTAACCC